CTTCATTAGCTAATCATTTCTTTTACATATACTTTTTCTAGCTAATTGGTATAGCTGCCAGCTGGAGCTGTTAAGGATCCTCCAAAGAAAATGGTCGGTAAGGAGAAATTTCAATAATTTCCCCAATGCTAGGATGAAACTTCTATTAGTTTCATGATTACGTATTTGAAAGTATATTTTTTTCTTCAAAATATTTTTTCTACCTTATTCCAAAAACCTTATGCTATCTGTGTTTAAAGTAAATCACTCATCTAGAAGAAACTTTAAATTTTAATAAATATAAATCAGGGTTTCCCAAACTTGACAATATTGACATTGTGGACTAGGTAACCTTTTTTTTCCCCTTCTTTTTTTGGTGGGTTGTCCTATGCACCATAGGCTGTTAATTGGCACCCCTGGCATCTACACACTGGATGTCAGCAGTACCTTCAGTTGTGACAACAAAAATTTTCTCCAGATATTGCCAAATGTCCCTGAGGGCAAAAATCGCCCCAGCTGAGAGCCAATCACTATTCTAAAACTCTAGAAATAGATGGTTCCTAATTTTCAGCTCAATTTTTTTAATTTAAAAAATAGTTTAATATATGCATTTATGTGTGTATTTAACTATAAACATGTCTAACATATTACAAATCATTGTCTTTTAACCAGGTAAATGAAAAAATAATTTTTTTGGGGGGGGAGATTATTTAAGCAGCTCATGCTTTCATAAATCTCTCTGGATAAAGAAAAAATAAACAGACAAGATAAGTATCTTATAACTACCAATGACTNGAAAAAATACTTAGATATGCACCCTTATGTTCACTGAAGCACTATTTACAATAGCCAAGATATGGAAGCAACCTAAGTGCCCTTCAATGGACAACTGGATTAAAAAGATGTGGTGCAATGGAATACAATGGAATATTACTCAGCCATGAAAATGCATGAGATCTTAACCATTTACAACATCATGGATGTACCTGAAAGGTATGATGCTAAGTGAAATAAGTCAAACAGAGAAAGACAAAGACCCTATGATCTCACTTATATGTGGAATATAAAGAAACAAATAAATGAACAAACAAAACAGACTCATAGAAAACAAACTAATGGTTGCCAGCTGGAAAGGGGTGGGGTGGGGTAAAAATGGTGAAGGAATTAAGAAGTACAAATTGGTAATTATGAAATAGTCAAGGGGATATAAAGCACAGCATAGGGAATATAGTCAATAATGTTGTAATAACTATGTACAGTGCCAGGTGGATACTAGACTAATCCAGGGGTATCACTTCATAAAGTACATAAATGTCTAACCACTATGCTGTACACCTGAAATGAATATATAAAGTAATACTGAATGTCAACTATAATTGAAACAAAAATATTAAATTAGAGCATTTTTAAAGGCTAAAAGATGAAATTTAACAGGAAAATCTTGTATATCTCTACTAATGTGGAATATTATTGAATGATGAAGCTCTTTGACAATGCCAACCCACCATTTTTAAAAAAAATAACAACACCAGATAAATGGGCCTGCATTGTTTTTGTTTTTTTTCCTTTGCTCCTCTTTAGCCCCACGTGTCTCACGCTCCTTCTGTGGTTCTCCACTTGCACCTTCATATGTCAGCACCTATATTGGTTTTCTTGTCCATCCCACCCCATGGGCGCATTTCTTTTGTATCTTTCTTGGTGCTTTTGTTTCTTCTTTAGTGTCTTCTCTTTTCTCTTTCATTTTTCTATTTTCCCCTTAAATTTTCTATTTATATCTCTCCACTTATACCTTTTCTCTCTTACTCTCTTCCTTAAGTATATTATAAAATGTAATTGTATTCTTCACAATGCCTTGTGCTTTTTCATAGGAACAATCACGCATGCATTTATATTAAAACTAGGTCAAACCCTTCCTTTCAAAATATTTCTTTTTAGGGGAAAACAAGAGAGTTTCCTTTTTTTTTCTCACTCACTTCTGGCTATTACTTTCTGTGATTCATGGCTCTTGATTTATTAAAACAAAATTTCCCATTCATGACCTAGGCTTTCTAAAAATTCAAAGCAAACAATATATAAAATAAGGCCAGGTAAAACAAGATAAAAGGGGTAGGCAGAAAATTCTCATTGGAATCTCCAAATTCACCATAAAACATATTTGTATTTTGCTTACTTCTCATGTAAACACAGAAAATTACAATAAAATACAAATTAATCACTTCTTATGTGCCTCATATCCTCCATATCTCTTCACAATTTTTAAAAATATTGATAACAACTAATTCAAGTAAAAATTATCATAGTTATAGAGATTATCAAGTGTCCTCATATATACTTAAACAACATTATAATGTCCCATCAAGTAGGACAAAAATATGCTTCAATTAATGCTTCACAATTAATGTGAAGATCATATTTAGAAAATTGTAAAGTGAAATGAAATTGATTTTTATTCTACCACTATTGCCTTATTTTATCTCTTTTCTATTGCCCAATGCCCACCAAGAATTGTAAGCCTTTAAGATATGAAATTATTAAATAAGGTATGCCTTTTATAGATTATTAAAAACAAGAGTTGAAGG